ACGGAGTTTCGTATTGCGCCTTAGGTTGTATGCCATGTATTCGTTATTGTGTCCCCCATACGTCTTCCTCCTTTTCCTCCTCCTTCCTCCTCCTCCTCCTCCTTTCGCCCGGTCCCCTCCACCCCAGTGTGGTCGGCGTTTGTTTACTTAAGGCATGGGCCAGAGCTGTAAGCAGGCGATCTGCGGGATTGCCTGTTTTGGCGGCCACAGTGCCCATTACCTCTTCGTCCGCCTCCTCGTACTGATTCGTTACCTTGCATGCATTTGTTCTTTCTCATTCAGGCCACGGTTCACCTCATGAGTTTGGCTATCGCAGGTCGGCGCGTGGTTTGCATCTAATTTGCCGGGCGATTTTTTGAATCGCATGGCAGTCGAGGATGTGCAGTGTAGAGGTGTAGAGTTCATTCGTTCGCATCCAAAAAATGAGGATGAGGAGGACCAGCGACTAGAAGGTGGAGGAGGAGGAAGCGGAGGGGGATAATTCATTTGACCGTGGGGTCTCCAGCTGCAGTGAACCTGCGTTGCGTTTCGCCAGGTCCTGGTCCGGGAGACCCAGCCAGGCGATATATCGAGACAGGGAGAGAGAGAGAGAGAGAGAGAGAAGTAGAGGAAGAAATAACGAAAGAGAGAAGGAGCGAGAAAGAGAGAGAGAGAGAGAGGGCGCAAGCGTCAGCAGGCGGTGGGGGAGAAGAATTGGGACCATCGCGAAAATGATCATGATCATGCTGACGATGACGATGACGATGACGATGGTGGTCATGATGATGATGATGATGATGATGATGATGATGATGATGATGATGATGATGATGATGATGATGATGATGATGATGATGATGATGATGATGATGATGATGATGATAATGATGATGATGATGATGATGATGATGTTGGTGGTGGTGATGGTGATGGTAATGGTAATGGTAATGGTGATGATGAGGATGAGGATGATGATGAGGATGAGGATGATGATGAAGATGGTGGTGATGATGATGATTATGATGCTGGTAATGTAGTGGTGATGGTGGTAATGATGATGATAAACATGGTGACGACGATGATGATGATGATGATGATGATGATGATGATGATGATGATGATGGTGATGGTGATGATGATGATGATACTGATACTGATACTGATACTGATACTCAGACTGAGACTGATACTGATACTGATGCTGATGAGGATCAGGATGAGGATGAGGATGATGATGATGATGATGATGAATATGATACTGATATTGATGATGTTGCTGATGGTGATGAGGATGATGGTGATGACGACGATGAAAACGACGATAATGACGACGATGTTGATGATGATGATGATGACGACAATGATGAGGATGAGGATGAGGATGAGGATGAGGATGATGATGGCGATTGCAATGACGAAGACGACGACGACGACGACGACGACGACGACGGCGGTGGTGGTGGTGGTGGTGGTTACGAGGGGGAGGAGGAGGAGGAGGAGGAGGAGGAGGAGGAGGAGGAGGAGGAGGTGGAGGAGGAGCAGGAGGAGCAGGAGGAGGAGGAAGAGGAGGAGGAGGAGGAGTTCGAGGAGGAGGAGTTCGAGGAGGAGGAGGAGGAGATCGATGGCGATGAGGAGGAGGAGGACGAGGTAAAGGAGGAGTAGGAGGAGGTGGAGGAGGGAGCAGTGGTACATGAGGAGGAGGTGTTTGACTGTTACATTGAATGGCCTGTAGTGACTCGGGCTCTCCACCGCTGCTTGCCTTGGTATTGAAATAACAGTCCGCGGACTGACTTTTGCTCTTGAGCATGTGATCTCTGCTACTCTTGCAGAGCTCAGCTTCAAAATAAGACTACTGCTGCCGCGCTAAAATCTTCTCGGAGTTTTGCCGGACGTCGAGGGAGAAGAGGAGGATCAGGAGGTCGAGGACGAGGACGGGTTGGAGGAAGAGGAGCTCGAAGATGAGGATGGGGTGAGGAGGAGCAGCAGTGGCATAAGGTTCAGGGATACGCTAATGGGCGAGGAGGGAAAGGCGGAGGAGGCAGAGGAGGAGGATGAGGAGGAGGAGTAGGAAGAGGAAGAGCAGGAGGAAGAGGAAAGAGAAGAAGAAAAAGACGAAGACGACGACAACGAAGACGAAACAGAGGAAGAAGACGAGTCATACTAATAACAGTAGTGGTAATAATAGTTGTAGTAGTAGTGAGAATAAGCAGCATACTTATAATCAAAATACTAATAATGATAAACATCTTAAACAGACTAGTAGTGGTTGTAGTCGTATGAGTATTAAGATTCTTACTAGTACTCGTAACGCTACTAACAATGATAACAACACAGATAACAATAATAAGAAGAAGATGAGGAGGAGGAGGTCGAGGGCCCCTTGGCCCTCGACACCCGCCTCCACCTCCGCCTCCTCCGTGCCCCTCGTTCTCGAGGGATCCATGTGGGTCGAGGCGGGCGGTGGTGGGCGGCGCAGGCGCGCCGCGGCGCACCGCTTTGGCGCGACCGCCTCGCGCGCGCGTGCCCGCGCAGCCGACGCCGACTGGGCGCTCCTCGCGTGGACTCCCAGCGACTCTCCGGCGACGCGCGCCGTCGCGGCCGCCGCGCGCGCGGGGGGGCGTGCTGTTCTGGGGTGGGGGGAGGGAAGGAGGAGGAGGAGGAGCAGGAGGAGGAGGAGGAGGAGGAGGTCGTCAGTCGCGCCCCGCTGCTCTCCTTTTCTCTTTTCTGGTTTTCGTCATACCCAGCGGGGGAACTGTTGTCGAACCCGACGGAACCCGAAGGAGGCGGAGGAGGAGGAGGAGAAGGAGGAGAAGGAGGACGAGGACGAGGAGGAGGAGGAGGAGGAGGAGAGCGCACGCCAGGAGAGCGGAGGACATGTGACAGGTGGTGGCGGTGATGGTGATGAGAGTGATTGCTAGGGACTACGTAGGATGATGATGCGGACGACGAGTTTGAGAAGAGTGATGCTGGCGAGGATGATCATGGTGACGACGATGCCGATATTAACGACGACGGCGATGGTACAGGTTTTGATATTGGTTTTGACGACGACGACGACGGCGATGATGATAATGATTGTGAGGATGAGGAGGATGATGAGAATGATGATAAGGATGAGGATGTGGATGAGGATGAGGATGGTGATAATGATGATGATGATGATGATGATGATGATGATGATGATGATGATGATGATGATGATGATGATGATGATGATGCTGGCGGTGCTGGAGGTGGTGACGATGGTGATGGTGGTGACGATAGTGATGGTGATTGAGGTGGTGGTGGTGGTGGTGGTGGTGGTGGTGATAATGGTGACGATGGTGGCGATGATGGTGGTGGTAATGACGGTGATGCTGACGATGATGATGATGATGATGATGATGATGATGATGATGATGATGATGATGCTGATGCTGATGCTGATGCTGATGCTGATGCTGATGCTGATGCTGATGCTGATGCTGATGCTGATGCTGATGATGATGATGATGATGATGATGATGAACCTTCTCATTCATATTATCACTATTATTACGATGGTGACGATTCGAGTGAGAGGTAATGGGGGGTCTACAAAAGGGGGGGCGAAGAAAGCAGCACCTTTGGCACACTTTAGTGGTTCTTTAGGGGTTGTTGGTTACTTACACCTTTTTGAACAGGTTCGGCGCGGGGACTGTGCCAGCGGTTCACTGCACAGTGGAATCCACGCGCGCGAAGCATCTTGCAGTATCCGGCTGATGGAGCAACGTCAGACCGCGAAAGGTTGCGCGGCGACGCCCAGGCCGCGTGCGCGAAGCCGCTGTGGCCCGCCAAACAGTGGATGCATTTCTGGGGTTGCCCTCACTTACGTGCAATGCAGCATTGGGCCCTTTTTGACCCACCGAGGCAGTGTGGGATACTCCCATGCACTGCAATCGTTGACCGCCCGCGGGTGATGCGCATCATAATGTCTGAGAGGGAGGCTGCCGCGCGCGACGTTCCTGGCGTAATTCAATGGCCACGTTTGGAGTTGCGCCGCAAGTATGGGAGAGCCGCCGTCTGACATGGAACGTTCACATGGAGCAACGTACCATATGTGAGAAGGGCTTTTGCCTCAAAGTGCCTCGTTTAGGAAACTTGCGTTCCCCCCCCCCGCTTGCGTCGCCCCACCAGTAACATCCACTTGAACGATGATGGTGGTAATGGTGTTGATGTTGGTGTCGACGATGATGATGATGAAGGTGATGAAGATGAACATGGTGATGTTGGTGATGATGATGGTGGTGGCGGTGGTGATGATGATGCGGATGATGGTGATGACGATGCTGATTATGATGGTGATGGTGATGATGAAGATGATGGGGATGATGATGGCTGTGGTGATATTGATGATCTTGATGATGGTGGTGGTGATGCTGTAATGCTGATGGTGCTGGTGGTGATGATGATGCTGATGACGGCGACGACGATGATGAAGATCAGGAGGGAAACCACGATGATGACGATGTTGCTGATGGTGATGATGATGATGATGATGATGATGATGCTGATGCTGATGCTGATGCTGATGATGATCGTGGGGGGCATTGGTGGTGATGATGATGGGGATGATGATGGTGATGATGATGATGCTGCTGTTGCTGGTGTGGTTGCGGGTGGTGCCGAATATGTCGATGATGGTAACGATTATGGTTGTGGTGATGCTGGAGTTTGAAGTAGCGACGCGTGTGAATGCCCCGCTTATGAGCGTCATGACCAGGCGCATGACGTGAATATCGAAGAGATGGCAATGTTGAGAAGGAGGGGGGGAAGGAAACCAAACGATGAGGAGGACGAGTAGAAGGAGTAGGAAGCAAGAAGGGAGTGAGTGAGCAAGGGATGAGGGAGAAGGAGGGGGCGAGGAGGGAAAGACGAGCGCGTGGTAGCCACACGCTGCGCTGTGGAGCCGTTTGTTTTTTCAAGCCCGAGGTCGCTTCTGCATGCAGTTCCAGGTTCCCAGAAGCCCCTCTTGCCTTCGGGGCTACCCGACCCCTCCCCGCATGGGCGAGGGCGCAGGACTCCCGAGACGACGCGGTTGCGTCTGCAACAGGCTGCCGCTGCCGTGCGTTGCGCTCGCAGCGCTCCTTTGGCACCTCTCGAGGTACAACAAAACGGCATGATCATGAGTTGTCGGAGCTCCGCGCGGATTTCTTGGATCGGCGCTGGACTTTCGATGCGCGCGGAGCACGCCAGGGGCGGTGCCAGGGGCGCCGCCAGGGAGTCCAGCGCCGATCCAAGGACTCTGCGCGGAGCTCCGTAATTGTGTGCTCATACCTTTTTTTGCTCCTCTCACCTCAGACGGCGCTGCGGCCCTGACCCTGCGGCTGCGTGGTCTGCTGCCGGAGGCTGGCAGGCCGACGTGCTGGCAAATTCCTCCTACGCGGACCGGGTCGGCAGCGCCACCGTGGTCCTCTACCGGCGTGGCCAGCTGCACGTGCGGCTGGCAGGCTGGGGCAACGGCCCCCTGGTGGAAGGCTGGTACCGGGGGCAACGGAGGAGGTCGAGAAAGAGAAGGAAGAGGAGGAGGAGGAGGAGAAAGAGAAAGAGAAAGAGAAAGAGAAAGAGGAAAGAGGAGGAGGAGGAGGAGGAGGAGGGAGGGAAGCTCCAGGACTCCAGGAGCTTGGCCGTCCTGGTATCCCTGGTCTCTCAGTCCATAGGAAGAGAGTTATCAGAGGCTCTTCTGCAGGCAAGCTGCCACCCGACCTCCAGGCTTAACCTGACTGAGGGGGCAGCTTCCTGAGGTCGGTTCCTGTCAGGTCGCTGGCGGTAGGGTGGAACTTCCGTCAGCGGCGACAAAAGTCTCCTTGGATGGAGTCGGCCTCGGTTTTTGTTTCCCTCCATTTTTCGGAGGCCCTGAATGGACCCTCCTCCGCAGCCAGGCAAGAGATAATTGGAGGAGGCGGAGGAGGATGAGGCGGAGGAGGAGGAGGAGGAAGAGGAAGAGGAAGAGGAAGAGGAGGAGGAGGAGGAGGAGGAGGAGGAGGAGGAGGAAGAGGAAGAGGAGGAGGAGGAGGAGGAGGAGAAGGAGGAGGAGGAGAAGGAGGAGGCGGAGGACGAGGAGGAGGAGGAGGAGGAGGAGGAGGACGAGAGAGAGAGGAGAAGGGGGAGGGGGAGGGCGTTTGAAGTGATGTGGCTTAGGGGGGGTGCCTTAACCCCATTGGTGAGGCCAGAGGCTTGGTGCACCTCCATGGTGTGCCACTCGAGGGCAGGGTAAATCTAGCAACATGTTTTTGAATTGCTGGACCAAACCAGAGACCCCAGAGGCGTTGTCCAAGCACCATGTCCTGCCTCGAGTGCGACGGTTCAGCTTGAACCTCGTGCCCGAAGGGGCAATGCTGCTAGGGAAAACACATCCCAAAGACCACTGCAGGTTCAAGCCTGACCGTGGGAAATATTGAAGGAATACCCCATGGTGTTCCTGTGGCCGCTGCAGCTGGGCACTGTTTGGAGCCCTCTCCGACTTTTCACTGGCCTGGGGGCGTGGTCAGAGGCTTCTGTGATTCGCTTGGGGACGTTACATGAGACTAGCCGCGAATTCGGCTCGACCTTGACCCCCCCTCACTCTGACGTGTTCGCTGGGCGCGATGAATTGTACCGCGTGCGCTGACACGCCCAACCGTACAGTGCTTACTTGCCTTTCCATCTCGCGCATCACGCGGATGACCCCCCCGCACTCCATGGTGCCCGCTTCACCACACTCTAAATCCTGATCCGCAAGCGCAGATGTAGCAAAATCCGCATAGCGAGGGCGGGATACCCGTGCCTGTCCATCGACAAGGGTGGGCATCCTAGCTTGAGGAACGAAGGGTGGGTGCCAATGGCTGTCGTCTATCGACAGGGATGGACATCCAGGCCAACACGGCGCCACCTCGACACCGTAACTGTCGGAGATTGCCTCTCTATCGACCGCAGTGGCCGCCTCACCGCCGTAGCTGGCCAAAGCCCCCGATGCGCAGCAAACCTCCTCTTTGCAAGGGCAGGATGCCCATGCCTGTTCACCAGCAAGGATCTGCATCCTAGCTTGAGGAGCGGATGCCCATGCTTGTCCATCGACAGGGATATGCATCCAGGCCCACTCGGTGCCTACTGAACGCCATCAATCGCGAAGCTGCCGCGCCCGTGACGGTAATATGGCTGGCTCATGGCCATGGAACGGGCCAACGTTCTCGGGCGCCGATCGAAGCCTCATTTCGAAGGCGGGATGCCCATGCTTGTTCACGGACAGGGATGGGTACCTATCCCAGTTTACGCCTTCTGGGGTCTCCTTGGATCTATCTGGGGGTCCTCTTCGAGACCCGATGTGGGCTACTTTTGTGCCCCAATGCTCTCGGTCAGTTTTTCGGCGACCACACTCAGACCCTCCTTGGCGTCAAAAAACTACCCGACGCCCGGTTGCGTGTGTCCGGGGCCCAGCAGGTGACTTCTTTCAGAATTGGAGTTCTGACAGATACATTCACCTTTCAAGGGGGCGTCATCGATCTTATTGGGTTCCGTTTCTCATCGATTTCCCAGCCGTTCTCGAGATTCATCCATGGACAAAGTTTGGAGATGTGCAGTCCCTCTCCCCAGACCCAGCCACAGAGATTTGCCAAATCGAGTCTGCCGACAAGGGGGACCAGCCCCTTTGCCGTCTATGATAATCACCGTCCAAAGAGTTGTTTTTTTGTCAAAGGAGGTCAGAGCCTCTATGTTTAGCCATGCTGGCTAGTTCAGGCACGTCGGGCCAACGTTTCCCGCGGCAGGCGCCTTCGTGCTGGGGCTCTCCTGGCTGTCTGGGGGGCTCGGTGTGGGTGGTTTTCGGAGCTTCTGGAGGGCGCCGCGTGGCTACGCAGCGCAGCCTCCATTTTGCCAGGCACCCTCTACTACCTCCCCCAAGAACGGCAGGGCTATTGAAAGTGACGACTGGCACAAGGGGCTGCGGCTTTGGCCAGGAGGACAACTCCCTTGGTGCGTAGACGCCTCGCGGCGCCACAAATGGCTGAGGCTGTGGCCAGGAGGGCAATTCTCGGGCCAACGGCCAAGGGGACCAGGACCAGCCCGAACGACCCCCCTGGCCGCCCATGGGGCGGCTAAGGCGGTGGAGCTCATGGGACTGGTAGGACTCGTTCATGTCTGCGGGCGCACGAACGCAACGTCCCCTTTTGGGGGGGGGTGGGGTCCGTCAGATTAGAGGGACAGCGCCCCCTGAGAAAGAGAGCGGCTGGGCGGCGCCATGGGCTCTCGTGAGCCCGCGTCACGGGGCGGTTAGCCTCGTTTTGGGGGTCTCTGCGGGCCAGTGCGAAACATCCCGCACGACGCCCCAGCTCCCCGTGGGGCCGAGGCCCCGGAGACGGGGGCGGGGGCCTTGTCGAGCCCACTCGATACAGCCCGAACGGCCCCTCCTGACCCCTGCGGGCGGAGTACTCTGTTGGGAGGTATTGTTCGGGCCGCTCCGGGGACGCACACCCCGCACCGTCCCAGTGGGGGGGTTCCGTTGGCCCAGGAGGGCAACGCCCCTGGTACGCAGGCGCCTCGGGGCCCGCGTGTGAGGCTGTGAGCCCCGATCGGGGGGGTCTCTTAGGGCCAAGGGGAATGGCCCGAACGACCCCTTTGATTTCCGTGGGGCCGGAGGCCCCAGTGAGGGCAGCCCGACCACCCCCCCCTGGCCTATGTAGCCCTGGTAGCGAAACCTTAGCGAGCTCAGGGAGGTACTCATCGGAGACGGAGTGTCTCTGTATAGAAAAAGCGCATGCGTTCTCTCTGAATATTCCTACCCTGGAGCCGTGCACACCTTCGGCACGGGGAGGAGGAGAAGGAGGAGGAGGAGGATGAGGATACACAGGATAAACAGGTGTCCTCGGGTCCCACCTCTACCGTGTAGAAGGGACCTGTCAAAGCCTTCTGGGGCCCTCACCCCAAAGGCTCACCGTGGTCGGGCGCCGCTGCGCACCGCTCGCAGTGTCAGTTGCTGCCGCTGCACGCCTTCCCACACGAGCTGTTCCCAGCGTCGTAGCTCATCACATGCCGCTCCTGTACCTTGCCTCTCGCAGTGCCTGCCTCGGCTGCCACTGCCTGCACTTTCGCACGCACCGATCCCAGTGTTGTAGCTGATGACGTGTTGCTCCTACTCTGCCATGGTGCGCTGACCACTGCTAATGCCGCCGCCCCTGCACACCTTCCCGCACGAGCCGCCCCCAGCGTTGTAGCTCAGCGCGTGCCGCTTCTGCATTTTCGCTGCATTCGCAAGAGCTGCCCCAAACATTGTAGCTGATGACGTGATGTTCCTGCTCTGCCGTGTGGCGTGGGCCTCTGTTGTTGCCGCCGCCACCGCGCGCCTTCTCGCACGAGCCGACCCCAGCATTGTGGCTGATCGTATGCCGCTCTTGCGTTCTCGCACGAGTTGTCCCCGGCGTCGTAGCTGATGGCGCGTTGCTCTTGCTGTCGCAACTGCGCTCCTTCTCGCACGAGCTGCCCCCAGCGTTGTAGCTGATTGCAGGCCTCTCCGTGCTGCCCCTGCTCTGTCGCGGTGCGCTGGCCTCTGCAGTTATTGCACACTTTCTTGCACGCGCCGCATTCAGCGTCGTAGCTGATGATGTGCTGCTCCTGATTTGTAGCCGATGGCATGCTGGTCCTGCTCTGCCGCAGTGCGCTGATCAATTCAGCAACTGCACATCTGATTGCACGCGCCGCCTTCAGCGTCGTAGCTGATGACGTGCTGCTCCTGTAATACCAGCTTCCATTGCCGCTGTCTGCCTTGTAGCAGGACGCGCTGCCACTGCCTGCTCCTTGCCTCTTCCGCGGAGCCAGCTGCCGCTGCCTACATTGGCGCGCGATCTGATACCAGCGGGGGGAGCTGATGATGTACGGCTCGGGCGCCAGCTCGTGCTGAGATCATGCTGCCGTTGCTTCCCTCCTTCACTGTTAGCTGCGTCCATCGCCTGGCTCAGCTCCATCCCCATTCCCCAATGTTGCCCAATCTTCTCACTGTAACAAAGGACGTTCGGCTCCATTGTTTTGTATGGCTCGAGACGGCATGGCCATTCCTAATTTTGCCGTCTCAGCCCGGGGTCCCCTGCCCCGAGAGGAATGGCGAGGAGGAGGAGGAGGAGGACGAGCAGGAAGAGGAGGAGGTGGTGGAGCTGAATCACCCACCAGGGGCGGAAAGATGATCGCGCTTCGCGCGCCGCGGCCTCGGCCAGAGCGGCTGCCCTTGCGAAGAGCACTGCACGTCGCAAATCGCGGGACGCGATGCGTCGAGGAGAAGGAGAAGGATGAGGATGTTGAGAAGGTCGAGGATGTCGACGAGGAGGAGGAGGAGGAGGAGGAGGAGGATGAGGAGGAAGATGAAGAAGTCGAGGAGGACTTGGAGAGGGAGGAAGTGGAGGAGGAGGAGGCGCAGGAGGAGGACAACGGTCCCCCGGGCAGAAGGCTGTCTGCACGACCTCGAGCAGGACCTTGCGAGGAGCGCGCTTGGATCCTCCGGCCCCCGCCCCCGTGGTCTGGAGGCGGCCGCCGCTGCGTGGCAGCGCGGTGCATCGTTTATCGATCCCCATTCTCTCTGGGCCATGATATCGCAGCCCCGTGAGCCCTCGCCGCAAAATGGGGACCCCGCGAGACCTGGAGGGGAACAACATGCATCCCCATCTAGGGGGGTTAGTCTGTCAGTGAGGCGAAGGCCATGCCAGTGGGGATGGGGATAGGTTCAACGATGCTCAAAAGGAGTCGTAAGGTCGACGATCCTCAGGACGCGTGTTAGCCCACTGTATGTCTACCCCATTCAGCTCCACCATTAGCACGCAGCGTGTGTCGTTCCTCGCTGCGCACGTTGGCTGCGTCGTATCGAAGGGCTTCGGTGGACAAACACAGGTTGGCGCTCACACTTGTACGCCGCAGCGAGGCAGAGGCGATCCGCACCCGCGTCAGGGCGAGACTGGGACACGTCATCGCGAATTCGCCCGCATGCAAGAGGAGGGGAAAGGAGGGAGAGGTTGGCGCTCACACACGTTCTGATGATAATCGATGAGGCAAAGCTCGGTCACCCGCAGTGGCGCGAAGATGATCTCGCATCGCGCTTCACGGTCTGTCTCGGAGGGCTGACCTTCTCCGTGGGGCCGGGGGCGGCGCGAGGGCGCGAAAGGTAACCGTGGGTCTCGCATCGCGGGGAGCGACGCGCAAAGTTTGGCGACCTGGGAAAAGGATCCCGCGTTTTTCCCCAGTTCTGGTCTCCTTGGGTCCTCCGCGGGCCCTGGGACTGTCAAAAACGACTCAGGACGAAAAGCTGGACCCCGGGAGAAAGCCCCGTGGATCCAGGACCCGACTCACTCAGGACCCGTTTCCTTCATGCCAATATTCCTTGTTCTTCTGGGAAACAGAAGGAAGGGGTAAGCTATGCAGACCTTGCTTCGATTTGATCCGATCCGACCCAGTTCTGGATCTGGGGTGTTCGGATCCGACGTCGACCTGACTCTCATCTCCCGGTTAAGCTATGCTGACCCCACTTCGATCTGACGTCAACCCGACTTCCCTCTCGAGGGTTTTGGCCCCCCTGGATGGGAGCGACGAGGAAAGCCGGAGTGAGGTCGAGGGGAGCGGAGGGAGCGAGAGTGGGATGGGGGAGGAGGTGAGGGATCAAGGATCCGGGGGAAGATGTAGCAGGGAGCAAGGAGCAGGGATACGGGGAGGGAGGAAGCGGGGAGGGAGGGAGGAGGCAAGGAGGGAGGAGGCAGGGATGAGAGAGTGAGGAGGAGGAGGAGGAGGAGGCGGAGGAGGAGGAGGAGGAGGAGGAGAAAGAGAAAGAGAAAGAGAAAGAGAAAGAAGGAGGAGGAGGAGGAGGAAGAGGAGGAGGAGGAGGGAGGAATGCAGGAAAAGAGGAGGGAGGCAGGAAGATGAACCAGTGGTGACGGGTGGTGGATCGGGATGTGGAGGACATGGAATATTATTTGGAGGAGGATATGGACAAGGATGCGGAGAAGGACGTGGAGGAGGAAAGGAAGATGGAGTGGGGAGGGAGGGGCTATTGGCGCATGGATGGATGGATGAATGGATGGGGGGAGCGCGTACGACTGTCAGAAATGGAGCAGAGGGAGGAGGAAAGAGGGATCGAGGGAGGGAGGGAGGAGAGAAGAGAAGTAGACGAGAATGGAGCTGGGGCGGGCTGGACGTTCGCCGAGGATACCAACCGTGAGCCTGTACGTCTACCTGGATATGTTGGTCAGCGTGCTGCTCCCCCCCTCCATCTTCCGCCCCCTCTGGCCCCAGCAGTTGCCTCCGTCTCTCCCATTCTCCTGTCGTGGCCCCTCCTCTCTGTCCCCGACCCTATCCCTTTCCCCCCTCCTTTTGGCGTTCGCCCCTGCCCCGTGCCCCGCTCCCCACTGCCGCTCGCCCCTTGACAATACCACATCACGAATCCTACTGTCCCCCCTCCCCTGATTCTGTCCGCAAGATGCCCGGTCCTCTCCGCGCGCTGTTTTTACACACTGGATTGGACAGACGTGGTTCTTGTTATGTCTTGTCCATTCCGGTCGATGTCGGTGTTTCAAAAATGGTACCCCCGCTGCAGCGTCCTTATTTTCGGATCGGCGCTTTGCTCTCGTCGTTCAGAATGGCGCTCTCGCCCCAGCGCGGGCCACTTTTACGGATCCGAGTCCTTTTTCATCGTTGTCGCTGTCCTCATTTCCTCTCCTCCGCCTTCCCTTGGTCCTCCTACTCCTCCCGCTCCTTCTACTCCAGTTCCTGTTGCTGTTCGTCCTCCTGCTCCTCCTCCTGCTCCTCCTCCTCCTCCTCCTCCTCCTCCTCCTCCCTCCTCCTCCTCCTCCTCCTCCTCCTCCTCTCCTCCTCCTCCTCCTCCTCCTCCTCCTCCTCCTCCTCCTCCTCCTCCTCCTCCTCTCCCCTCCTCCCTCCTCCTCCCCCTCCTCCTTCTCCTCTCCTTCTCCTTCCTCCCTCCTCCTCCTCCCCGTCATCCCTTTTCCCTCCACCCTCTTCCCTCCTCCCTCCTTCCTCCACCCTCCTCCCTCCTCCCTCCTCCATCCTCCCTTCTCACCACCACCACCACCATCATCCTCATCATCATCATCATCATCATCATCATCATCATCATCAGCATCATCATTATCATCATCATCAGCAGCAGCATCATCATCATCATCATCATCATGATCAGCATCATCATCATCATCATCAGCATCAGCATCATCATCATCATCATCATCTCAATCGTCTGGGTCGTCATCATGATGATGATCATCATCATCATCAGCAGCATCATCATCATCACCACCACCATCACCATCACCATCATCATTTATCATCATCTGCATCGTCATCAGCATCATACTATTCAGCATCATCATCAGCATCGTCGTCATCATCATCATCATCTCAATCGTCATCGTCACCAGCAACATCACCATCATCATCAGCATCATCAGCATTATCATCATCATAGTCATCATCATAATCATCATCACCATTATCATCATCATCAGCAGCAGCATCATCATCGTCATCGTCATCGTCATCGTCATCCCTCCTGCCTCCTGCCTCTTGCCTTCTCCCTCCTCCTGTTCCTCCTCCTCTGCGTCCTCCTCCTCCTCCTCCTCCTCGTCCTCCTCCTCCTTTTCCTCCCTCCTCCTCCTCCTCCTCCTCCTCCTCCTCCTCCTCCTCCTAGCTCCTCCAAGCTGCGGAAACGTCTGCCTCCATATGAAACGCGGGGCACAGTGTTAAAAACGCCTCAGGCGGAGGTGGTGCGGCGGAAGGACCTCCCGACCACGCGTTTGGTGGATGCCAGCAGAGCGCCAGGCGCACGTTCCGCCGTAGAGTTCGGGCGTTTCAGCTTCCAGACAATCTCCCCATTTCGAAGTCGTATGCGGGTGATTTCCTTCCGATCGTGAAGCTGACGTATGATTTTATCAACCTGAGCCCGCGCTCTCTTGAGCCATTGCGGTGACGGAAAACTCCGCGAGCACAAATTGTCACAACCGTTTGGTCATTGTTCAATGCTCTGCTAGAGTACTGCTGGAGTCACGCCGCTCACGCCTGCCACAACAGGCTCACGATGTCAAGAATGCTCCTGCTCTGCATCTTGAGCCATCGCGGTTACGGAGAACTCCGCGAGCACAAATGGCCACAATCGTCTGGTCACTGTTCAATGCTCTGCTAGACTACTGCAGGCGTCAGAGGCCGAACGTCGGGGACTTAACCATTTCTACCAGCTCTGCCCGCGGGGTCGGCTCCAGAAGGACATTAACCGCGCGAACAGCGACTTCATCTAGGCCCGTCGGCGTGCCCGCGGCGCGCCTCCGACCGAGGCCTGGCCGTTGCCACGCCCTTCTCCTCCTCCTCCTCCCCTCCTCCTCCATGCTCGCCCGAGGGGCCCTGCTCGCCCTTCTCCTCCTCCTCCTCCCCTCCTCCTCCTCCATGCTCGCCCGAGGGACCCTTTCCCGCCCGTGGCCTGGTGGCGGCCCAGCAGTCGAAAGTTGCCTCCCATCCCCGAGTGGGGGCTCGGCCGAGCCGTGTCCCGACAGCAGGGGGGGAGTGCTCTCGGTCATGGGACCGCCTGGTCTGATGTTTGGTCTGGGACCTCTCGGGCTTCATGGATGGTCTCGGGGCTCGGTGGGTGCATTGGGGGCCTGCCCGACGCCCGCAGCGTCGCAGGGCTCGGCCTCGGCGAAGCCCGAGCGGAAGCGCCCCCAGCCCTCGGGAAGCATCATGCTTGCAACAGCCGAACCCGGTTGGTTTCGTGCTGCACGGTGCGCAGCAACCTCGACCTCGATCGCTTTTCGATGTTCGATCGTCCGTTCAAAGGCTAGTTTTAGTTTCCATTCGCCGGCCGATGCTCGCCAGGCCCGACCAGAGACCACGAGCAAGGCCGAGTCTGCTTCTCTTTCGTCTTCTTATTATTGATATTCTTACTTCTCTTCTTCTTCTTCTTAGTCCTCCTCCTCCTCCTCCTCTTCCCCCTATGTACGCAGTTCACCTTTTTTGCGATTGCGCATTAATGCGATTAGGTCAGTTATGACACGAGTTCGCGGATAGACAACACATCAACGCAATCGGAAGCGATGGGAGGGAAGGAGGGGATGTCAGATATTGCGCGAACGCACCTACAGCTTGTCCTCCCCCGTCTCTCTCTTCCTTCCACCTTCCCCTTTCGCTCCTTTCCCCTTCCTTTGTCTGCCAGTGTTTGCCTGCCTCTCCTGTGTTTCTGCTTCTCTGCTCCCCTGTTCCGTGTGAGCGAAGGGGAAAGGGTCCAACGCGCGGACATCAGCGCGTAAGCATCCCGCGCATGGGAGGTCGTGCGCGAGCGGCCTCTCCTCCGCGGGGTGTGCCAGGCTGGCGGCCCGCTTGTGAGCCGCGGCGTAACGTCGCCATGTCTTCTCGCGCAAAACCTGTCTCTTTTTGTCGCTCCTGTTTCCACTGCTTCCCCGAGCCCGTGCCTCCCGGGCTCCCTGGCCGAGAGGCCGGACGAGGGAGCTCGCCGCGGGCCGTCGCGGCCGCGCTCCAGTTCATGGGGCGCGTCGGGCACCGCGTGAAGCGCGTGGCCGTCGTCGGCCCCCCGCCGATCATCGCCTTCATGCGGATCCTGAGGGACATTTGTCGTCAGGTGCCCCCGCGGAGGAGGGGGAGACGGAGGGCATCAGGGGAGGGAGAGGGGGAGGGGGTCGAGGTGGGACGGAAGGGGAAGAGGAAGAAAAGGAAGGAAAATAAGAAGAGCATGCATAACAGTAATACTACTGATTATAATCATAACAATATTCATCGTATTAGCAATAATATTAGCAATAGTAATCGTGATGCTGATGATCATATTAAGAATAAGAAGAATAACCATATTAAGAAGAAGAAAATTAGCACGAAGAGAAGAAGACGACGAACATTATCTTCATATTCATCGTCTTCTTCTTCTTCGTCTTCTTCTTTTTATTACTATTATTATCTGAGGGCCTCCTTGGGGGCCTCTGAGGGCCTCTGAGGGCCTCCTTGGGGATGCTCCGGGGGCGTTTTTTTTTCGAGGATGTCCCAAGCGAGGGCGCTGGTTTGGAATTCGTCGCCGGATTAGCCAGATTTCTCGGGTCTCGCCAGAAGCGGAACAGGGGGGGCCGTCGGCGGGGCCATTACCTCGCGCGCCGGGGGTCAGGATGATATAGGATGATGTGAGTTCCGCAGAAACTCCCTCTAACTAGTAATGACAAGGGGAAAACAAATAATCATAATAATAACCGTAAGAAGAACAAGGAAAAGAAGAAGAAGAAGAAGAAAAAGAAGAGCAGGAGGCGCGCGCCGCTCCAGCCCGGCCCTACGCGGTCCGCGCAATTCACCCTTCGCCAATTTGTCGGAAGCGGGGCCGAGCACGACCGCCTTCCGTTTGCGAGGTGGGAGCGCGTTCCAATTTGTGCCGCACTTCATCCTAAGGATCAACTGCGGCACAATATCAGTCGTTCGGCCTGGATAAGTTGACCCCCCTTTTCCTACTCCGCCTTGTCTTCTGGCCTGAAGGCCGCCGCGCCTGTGCCCAAATTGCCTGGCTTAGACGAAGCAGCAGCCTAACAACAACGAGTATACGGTTTAGGTGTTCGATATGGACCCCGTAGTGAACGCAGTCATCCGTTTTTCGCGCCAGAAGCGACCAAAGACCAAAGGAAACCTCCATATCCCTCCGAAGAACGTTAAAGACCGTCAGAAAACCGCCGAAGACGGTCCAATGTCGATGGGCAACAAGGGATCGATCTTCGAATGCGTAGGGCGATGCCGCAGCTGCGCCCCGTCCCCGCAAGGAGGGCGTGGAGTTCTTCGGCAGGGGCGCGAAGGCGGAGGCCTGGCTCTCGGAGCAGCTCGCCCGCTCTGGGGCGGCCGGCTCGCGGTCGTGGCTCCTCGGGGGGGGGGCAGCGAGTCGTGCGCGGCGATGGCGGTCGGGCACGGTGTCGGCGGCGGTGGTGGCGGCGGTGCTGGTGCTGGTGCTGCTGGTCGTGGTGGCAATGCCAGTGCGAGCTGATGGTGTGCAGATGCCGACGCCACAAGAGCTCCGCACAGGGTCCTGGGATTTTGCGGCGTCCAGAAGCATGCAAAGATGCTTCGATCGGCCGTGGTCAGTGCATTTTCCAAGACCCATGTATTTCGCCAGTACCCTTCAAGGACCTTCACTTCCTCGCTGCGCACGTTCTCTGGCACACACGTTCAAGGACTGCACTTTCTGAGCGTGTTCCCCTCCCCATCCGCGCGTTCCTCCTCTTCCCGGCCCCCTTACATCCCACGGATGTCCCCGAACGCGGTCAGGACTCGCTGCTGCGACAAACGTGCCGTTAGCTAGTGCACAGAAAAAAGTGCGCCTCGTGCTTCCAGGCCGAAGTCTCTAGTCCACGACGCCCCTTGGCGTCGCGTTGATGTCGCCCCGATTTGCCAGACCGCATATGCACATATCGTCATAATATGTGTTTCAACGTTTGTTTGATGACCCTCTCTATTGTAACAGACTCACGTTGGAATTCAAGGTAGTGGTGGTGGTGCTGGTGGTGGTGGTGCTGCTGCTGGTGGTGTAGGTGATAGTCGTATTGGTAAGTGTGGTCGTAGGTGTGATCGTCGTAATTTGTCGTCGCCGAATCACGATCATTATTGTGGGAGTCGTATTGCTATCATTATTGTTTGGGTCACCCCAGGGGGGCGAGAAGATGACCTCGCTCCGCGCGGCGCTGTCTCGGCCACAGCGGCTGCCCGTCTCCAGGGGGCGTTGGCGCGAGGGCGTGCGCATCGCGGTGCGCGATGCGTGATTTTGGGGTGACCTGGGCCCAGTCACTCCCTAGGGCGCGAAGGTAGCCCCGCCACTCGCGTAGCGGTCTGGACCAGCGCGGCTGCCCTTCTCCAAGGGGGCGTCGCGGGGGGCACGGAGATAATCGCGCATCGTGGGGCGCGATGCTCAAAGTTTGGTGACTCAGGGAATGCCGCCGGGCCAAGCCCCGTAGGCCGCCCTCGCCGTGGGCACCTGCTGGATCACGATCGTCTTGTGCTTGGCCACGTTGTCGATAAGGTTTCCAAGAGTCCCCGTGCTTCGAGCCGCCATCCTGCCTGGCTCTGCCTGGCACCTCGTTCTCCTGGGTGTACCCGCGGGAGCGCGAAGGTAATCGCGTTTCTCGTGTCGCGGTCTGGGCCAAGGCGGCCGCCCTTCGCCAGGCGCGAGGGAGCGAGGGCGCGATGGATGGCCGCACATCGTGGGGCGCGATGCGCGAAGCTAGGCGGACTTCGGCGCCTTGTTCCACGGCCCACCTGCAGATTGGGCAGAGCCGAGGAGCCAGGGACAGGTCACGCAAAACAGAGCGATGAAGGGTCAGCCCGAGCATGCTTTTGGTCGAAGCTCCGCGCGCGGTGCGCCTCCTCGCTTCGAGCTGCGCTGGTTGGCGCGCGCTCCGGCGCAGCGGTGGCCTCAGGTCGAGCGCGCTCAGGTCGAGCGCGCCCAGTCACTCAGGTCGAGCACGCTCAAGTCGAACACGCCCAGGTCGAGCACGCTCAATCGCTCAGGTCGAGCACGATCAGGTCGAGCCACGATCTGTCGCTCCGTGGTTAAAGACTACCATGCCACAGATACACCTGGCGCCTGGCAGCGACTGGCCGAACACGATCGCGCCCCGGGACGCACCACATGGTATGCGAGCCCCCTGCTTCTGCGCGCTGCGCGCCCCGATGCCCCGCATATACGCCCTTCCCATCCACAACCCAGGATTGCACCTCCCAGCTGAGAGACGACCTCCTTGGCAGAGATCGCTGCTGCTTCGCGTTTCCTCTTGCACTCGGCCCTCCTCTGCATAATTAGCGCTGGTGCGGGGACGGTGTCCAGGTCGTACATGCAATCCGCGACGTGTGACGTTCTCCTCCGCTGCACCAGCGGTCTCCTCACTATCTGGGGTTGTGTCCCCGACGTCCACGAGCGGATCCGCAGGGCACTGCAGCTTTATCACCGCCACCTTTGCCTCGCCTCACACGCGAAACCAAACAATGCACGGGGAATTGACGTCCGAGCGACGGGAAGAAGAGCCTCTCGGCGCTGGCCCCGCGGGCGCCTCCAGGCCGCTGTGCGCCTCCTCCTCCTCCTCTGCCCGCCGCGGCCCCCCACCCCCCCGAGGCGAGTTGCTGCCGGTGCAGCGGCTGCTACATGCGCTCCGCCAGGGCGCCTTCGCCAGCATCGCGCGGAGTTCCCGCCGCTTGACGCCAGGGTCCTCCGCCTCCGCGTGTCAGGCTGACCGCACGCACAAGAATTTCATGCTCTGAGCGTGCTCCGCCACCCGCGGCATCCCCTCCCCCCTTTCGCCGCGCCTTTCCTTTCCTGGTGCGTCCCCCGCTACCCCGACCGCGGCCTGGAGTCAAGTCGCCGCCGTCCAAAAAAATCGGCTGACCGCTGACCGGCGCCGCAGCACCTTTCTGCGACCATTTGCGGACCCCTGCCCCTGCGGGTCCAGTCGGCGCTGGGGTGCCGGACGCCCCGCTAGGGTCCATTCGGCTGCAGACGCCCTTCAGATCCCGAACCCCAGCTGGCTTTTTTAGGAGCGAGGTTGTTCGTGTACCCTCTGGCGGGCAGTGCTCGTTGGCCCGGGCCCCCTCCTCCCACGTAACGTTCACGATCGGGGGCTTGGAGCCCCCATCGACATGCAGGTGCCCAAAGGCGTGTTGTGCTGCTCACAGGTATACTGCGAAGAATCCCACCCCACCCCAACGAACCCCCACCCGCCCAAGCGTTCCCAAAACCCGGAGTCCAGACCCCCCCCGAGTAGTGACCGTTACCCGCCAGAGGAAAAAAACTATTTCAGCCCGACTTGCAGGGGCAGGGCTGACCGTCGCGGCACCTTTCAGGAGGGAAAAAACAGAGAAACAAGACATCGTCGATCCCCAACAGAGTGTGGAGGGGAAGTGGAGGGGAAGAAGAACATCCAGGACAGATGGCACAGATGGGGAACCATGGGATCTCTGTATGTTTCTTCGTGCGCCCCTGGGCCCACTCACTCTTGGCGTGCCGCAGGGCGTGCACGTCCCCTGCCTCCACGCGCGGCAGTGCCCCGGGCCACGTCCTCCTCCTGGAGAGCCCAGGGCTGCACCCGGCCCCCCGAGAGACGAACTCCTGGGGCAGTGGCCCAGCGGGGAGCGAGGGGTGGGGGGGTGAGGAGGAAAAGGCCTTCTCAGAAGGCATCGGGGCTTCTCAGAAGGCCCCCGGCCTTCCGGGAGGTGTTCTGTGTCTTCGGGGAAGGCTTCGAAAACTTCTCGGAAAGCCTGGGGACTTCTGGGCCTTCTGAAAAGGCCTTCTCCTTCTCACTCCCCCCCCCTGGGCTCGCCGCTGATCCTTGGGCAGAGGCTACTGCTGCTTCGCGCTCCCTCTCGCACTCGGCCCTCCTCTCCACGGCTTCTGCTCGTGCGTGCTGACGGTGCGGTTCGAGGCAACAGGGACTGCGCCGCAGGCAGGGCTCTCCTAATTATCGCGGCACGAGGCGTTGGTCTCGTGGCCGTTTCTCTTGAGCCTGACCCGAACCCTTCGCGCCCTTGCAGGGGGCGCAATGGTGTGTCCCCCCCCTCTCCACGGTCTTCGCGGATGAAGAGCGTGTCGATGTCCAGCTCCACACAGTCCGCGACATTCTAGGCCTCTCGGATGGGGTCCGAGCAGATGGGGTCGATCGCGCCGCATCGCCGATGCATCGGGCGATGCTGCTCGATGAGGAGCCAGATTTCCTCCACGCCGATGGCGCCGACGTTTCGCCGACATCGCCGATGCATCGGCGATGTGGCGCGATTCTCCGCCCCCTGCTTTTGGGACCCCATTTTGGCGGCCTCCAGACGTGTGACGTCCTCCTCCGCTGCTGCTTCGCGCGCCCTCTCGCGGCGCCCTCTTAGCGTGCGCGGCGCAGCCCTGCGGGTGGGCTTGTCAGTATCGTTCAGCCGATCCCTATCCCCTTCCCCTTCCCGATCCCCACCATCCCATCACCCCAGTTGGGAATCTGCCTCACGAAACCCGAAGGTAGCAGCCCAGACATCTGGCTCTTCAACTTTGTTCGATACGCCAGCCCCCAGAGGTCTGGACCATTTCCCTAGGGCCAGCTTTTCGATCTGAGTCGTTTTTCGAAAGTCCCAGGGCCTGCCGAGGGCCCCCAGGGGCCGAAAATTGTCAAAAACCAGCCGCTACAATTTTTTCGGGGCCTCGCAGCGTGTATCCCCATCTAGGGGGGTTTATTGGCCAGTGGGGCCCAGGCCACGCCCGTGAGGATACGGATCGGTTATAAGAACTCTGAGATCCGCGCGTTCTTGGATCAGCGCTGGGGCCCCCTGGCGGTGCCTCCGGCGCCGCTCCTGGCGCGTTCCGCGCGCCAGGGAGGGAGATCCAGCGCCGATTCGAGAAATCCGCGCGGACCTCCGAGTTTTTATGGTTATGCCTTCGTTCCCCGATACCCCCCTCTTTAAGGAACAGCGAGCAGGTCTGGTTCGAAAAGGGTGACTTCGACGGCTGCTGGGGCGCCTCTGGTCGGGCTGGAGGGCCTCTGATCGAGTCGGGGGGGGGCTCAGGTCTAGCGAAACCAACCTTCTCCGACGAACCTGGACCTGTCAGTTTCTGCCTCTTGTTGGCGGCGCGCACAAGGGTGCAGGGGGGGGAAGGCTTTTCAGAAGGAGGCTGCTTTTAAGAAGGCGACGGCCTTACATCTACAGACAAGGCCCGCACCTTCTAAGAAGCAGCCTGCCGAGGCCACACAGGGCTGGCCGACGCCACACGGCCAGCCGAGGTCGCGCGGCTTGTGCGGGGCGGGCCTTCGCTGCAGCGGAGGAGGCAGCAGCCGAGGTTCGAGGACGGCGAAAGGAAAGGGGGGAACAGCCAAATATCTCACACGCCTTTTCACCCGTGGCAAGCGGGGGCCGGCGGATTTAGCTTCGGCCAGCGTCGATCCGCAAGAGCCGACAAGACGGCACGGGAGGCTCCCGTGAGTTGCCACAGAAGGGGGGGAGATCGAGGTCAGGAGAGCGGGCCCTCGAGGACGCCGAAACTACCGCCGCGGGTGCACAGCAGGTGCGCGTTCCTTTCCTCCCCGTCATTGCCCGCGCGTTAAATGAACCCATGCGAACCCTTGACCGGGGCGAAGGCGGGCCTGGGCAGAGCTCTGCCCCGAGCGTTGCCACCCGAGCCTGCCCCGAGGGCCCAGGGCCGCAGAGCCCGCGGCCGCCCTGCCCCCCTTTGTGCCCCGCCCAGGCTCCGCTGATGCCGCCGCGGGCGTGCGCGGGGCTGCGCCGCCCCGCCCGCTGCCTGGCCCAGGAATGCGCGCAGAGACGCGCCCCCCCTCCTCCTCCTCCTCCTCCTCCTCCTCCTCCTCCTCCTCCTCCTCCGCCTCCTCCTCCTCCTCCTCCTCCTCCTCCTCCTCCTCCTCCAAAGCTCGGGTGTTTTCACGACTAGGAAAACTGAAACACGACAAGAGAAAACTGAAACACGACAAGGCACGGCTTATTCACGACAAGCAACAAGCAACTTCGCCACCCACTTTCGCCGCCCACTTTCGCCGCCCACTTTCGCCACCCACTTTCGCCGCCCACTTTCGCCGCCCACTTTCGCCGCCCACTTTCGCCGCCCACTTTTTCGCCGCGCCAACTTTGGGCGGCCGGCCCTTTGCGGCGGCGGGAAAGTGGGCGGGGAAAAAGGGCGGCGAAAGTGGGCGGCGAAAGTGGGCGGCGAAAGTGGGCGGCGAAAGTGGGCGGCGAAAGTGGGCGGCGAAAAGTGGGCGGCGAAAGTGGGCGGCGAAAGTGGGCGGCGAAAGTGGGCGGCGAAAGTGGGCGGCGAAAGTGGGCGGCGAAAGTGGGCGGCGAAAGTGGGTGCGGCGGCGAAAAGTGGGCGGCGAAAGTGGGCGGCGAAAGTGGGCGCGAAAGTGGGCGGCGAAAGTGGGCGGCGAAAGTGGGCGGCGAAAGTGGGCGGCGAAAGCGGGCGGCGAAAGTGGGCGGCGAAAGTGGGCGGCAAAAGTGGGCGGCGAAAGTGGGCGGCGAAAATGGGCGGCGAAAGTGGGCGGCGAAAGTGGGCGGCGAAAGTGGGCGGCGAAAGTGGGCGGCGAAAGTGGGCGGCGAACGTGGTTGGCGACAGTGGGCGCCGAAAGTGGGCGGCGAAAGTGGGCGGCGAGAGTGGGTGGCGAAAGTGGGTGGCGAAAGGGGGCGGCGAAAGGGGGCGGCGAAAGTGGGCGGCGAAAGTGGGTGGCGAAAGTGGGTGGCGAAAGTGGGTGGCGAAAGTGGGCGGCGAAAGTGGGCGGCGAAAGTGGGCGGCGAAAGTGGGCTGCGAAAGTGGGTGGCGAACGTGGGTTTGCTTGTCGTGAATATGTTTTTTCCTTGTCGTGAATCTGCTTGTCGCGAAACCATCCCGGCCATTCCTCCTCCTCCTCCTCCTCCTCGTTCCACGGGAGATCCGGGTGAGAAGTGAGAGAGGGTTACCCAGGGGCTAGGACGGCGGCCCTACTAGCGAAATTGTCGGTCGAAGATGTTGTCTTGGTGTTCGTAGAGCGCTGGAGTAAGGCTCAATTGGGAGTCATGCTGTCCGAGAGGAGGTCATATTTCGCTCCGTGGTCAGCTTACTTGTTCTGCTTCGGTCATTCGAGACAGATGGCGATGCAGATGATAATGGCCTCTGATTCGGAGCTCTGGGAACAACAGCGGCTCACCCGAACAGCGGAACAACAGCGGAACAACAAAGGAGCAGCAAATATATATAATCAAAGCAGCGGCCGCATGGCATCCAGCAACTGCCTTGAAGGACGAGGGCGGCGTGAACTGGAAACTTAAGCCTCAGACCCGCGTGTTAGTAGCTTGCACGGACGGTAGAAGGTCCGACGCCAGTAGGACGAGCCAGGACATTCACTACAAGCTCGGACAAACTTGTCCGATTGTTACACCGAAGCCCCAAGAACATCCGAATGACAAATGAAGGTTTCTGCGCCCAGCCCCGTCCGCACCAGGGTACGCGCGGTTCAAACGCCCCCCTCATAAGAATTCTCAATGTGTTTCCACCTACGGGGGAGTCCTTTGGGGTGATCCATTCTTCTAATTGGAATTTGACGAAGGAGAGTGGGTGCAGCCTGGTTTGGGCGATTCTGCTTCGGACGTCCTCAGAATCTGCATGGTTTGGTTGCTGGTTTGGCTTGGGTTGGCCGCGCGCCCCGCCTGAGACATTCTCAACATCTGCCTGGTTTGGCCCCTGGTTCGTCCTGGTTTGGGCCCGGTTTCGCTTGAGACGTCCTGGTTTGGGCCTGGTCCCGCTTGAGACCTCCTCGCGAGTTGCTTGGTTTGACCTTGGTTTGGCCTGGTTTCGCTTGAGGGCTGCCGTCCATCTATGTATGGGTTTCTCATAATGCGGTAATTTCCAAAGTCGAATTATGGGAAACCCAGACGCGGCTGCAGCTGCGGCTGCGGCGGCGAGCAGGATCGAGGTTCCGACTTATGGGAAACCCATAGGCCGCCACAAACCCTTAGGGAATCTGGCGACCGATGGGTTTCCCACAACACGGCTGGGAGAATTCTGGGAAACCCGTAGGTCGCCAGAATCCCGTAGGGAATCTGGCGACCTATGTGTTTCCCATCATCCCGCTGTGAGAAGCATGGGGAACCCATAGGTCGCCAGATCCCATAGAGGTCGCCAGATTCCCTAGGGGAATCTGGCGACTTACGGGCTTCCCAACATTCAGCGGGAACAATTGTGGGAAACCCACAGGTCGCCATAATCCCATAGGGAAACTGGCGACCTATAGGTTTCCCATCATTCGGCTGTGAGAACCTATGAGGAGGAATCCTGGAGGGCGGGTGTATTTCAACATCGTTGATGAATCTTGGGTTTTACACTGGTCCTCCTCCTCCTCCTCCTCCTCCTCCTCCTCCTCCTCCTCCTCCTGTTGCGGCTGCTGTTTTTCCTCCTCCTCCTCTCCTCCTCCTCCTCCTCCTCCTCTCCTCCTCCCTCCTCCTCTCCTCCTCCTCCTCCTCCTCCTCCTCCCCCTCCCCTTCTTCGTCCGCCGCCAACTCGCGCGAGCTCGGCGGTCAGGGCCAGCCAGCACCATGGGCGCCGCCGACCCCCCCACCGTCCTGGCAGCCAGCATGCCGCCCCCAGTTGGCACCAGAGCCAGCCGCCGCGGCACCCGAGGCGGTTAGGAGAAAACTTGTCCGAGCCCGATCAGGCTCGGAAGAATTTCTCCGAACACCCGAAAGACAATTGAAGGTTTCTGCGCCCAACCCCGTCCGCATCAGCGGGCGCGCGGTCCACGCGCCCTCCCATGCAATTCTGAACGGGCTTCCGCTTGTGGGGGGTTGGTTCCCTGGGGTTATTTGTTCCTTCAGTCAGGATGGGGCCTGATTTGGGCGATTCTGCTTCGGACGTCCTCAGAATCTGCCTAGCTGGGACCCTGGGTTGGCCCTGTCCGGCTTGGTTTGGCTTGTTTTGGCCGCGCGCCCCGCCTGAGACATTCTGAAAATCTGCTTGGTGTGGCCCCTGGTTTGGCTTTGTTTGGGCCCGGCTTGGGCCCGCTTGAGACGTCATCAACATTTGCTTGGTTTGGCTCAGATTTGGCCTGGTTTGGACCCAGTTCCGCTGGAGACGTCCTCGCAAGTTTCCTGCTTTGGCCTGGTTTAGGCTCGGTTCCGCTTGAGACGTCCTCGCGGTTTGCTTGGTTCGGCATGGTTTGGGCCCCGTTCGGCTTGAGATGTCCTCGCAATTGATGGTGGTAATTCGAACTGTCATGTTGCACAAGAGATGCCATCGCAATTCGCCTGGGCCACGTTTCTTCGACACTGAATGGATGCTCACACAGGTCGTGGTGGGCGTTTAAAAGCTGGAGTCAATCCACTGTGCGCAATGAAGGCCCCTTGTGGCCCGTTATATAATATTTCTGCGCTGCAAAACGACGGGTGGAATGGGTGTGGACATTCCCAGCACGTTGTTACTCGGCATGGGCGTGTGTTGCGGCGTTCGGAGAAAACTTGCCCGAGCCTGCAGGAAGGTGTCTTTTAAGAATGCTGAGTGTTCATGTAATGCCCAGATCTCTCTTGTACAGTCTGGGTCAAGCGGCTCGATAAACTTGCGCCTTCGTGCGGCGGTTTGGGCGCTGGCTCGAACAACTGGCGAGCGTCTCGACGGGGCCCAACACACCCTGGGGGCCTGGATGCTCATCTTTCCGAAGCGGCCCAAGAGGCTGCCGGCCAATACACGGCGCGCAGACCGAGAGGTTTGCGAGTTATCAAGGTCCAGCAGTGGTCGAGAGTCCATTTCCAGATTCGGCTTAGTTGGTTCAATCATTTGTAGCGGCATCCCACCAGCATAGCAGCCCCTGTGGCTGAGCAGGACCACATTTGGGCCACCGAGCGGAGAAGAGCCGAGCTCGCCGTTGGAGGAGCCCAGCGAGGCCCTGCACAGAGGAGCCCGAAGGGGCCAAGAGGGCGTCAGGCCTTGCCGAAAAGGGGGGGGGGTCTCGGAGGGGTACGGCAGTTTCGCGTCGTGTCGACCGGCGGCGACCCCGCCGCCGGCGTTCCACGTTGAGCGCCGCCGGCGACCCAGAATCGGTCGATGCTGATTTATCGGACGTTTCGGAAACGGCCGATCGTGCAAGGTTGAAGGATCCCCGCGGTGTCAGAGATCAACGCCGAGGTCGGCACGACCTGACATTGCCGTACCCTAATATGCAAGCACCCTGCCAGGTCGTTTAGCGAATTGCCCTGTTCCAGTTTTCGACAGGGCATTTCGCCGCAGTGTTGTGCGGGCTTGCGCCCGCCCAGGCCAGTTCCCGGGTCGTCTTCGCTGAAGGGCATGTTGTTGCTGAAGGGGATTCCGTCATGTTGCGTCCTTCCAAAGGGTCGACCGTGCTTCAGGATGCAACTCCTGGGAAGTTGAATTAAGCATCGGCGCTGGTTCGACCGTGGCCGACAACCGACCGAGTCTGGCATACATTCAAAATTGACAGTTAGGATGATCGTTGTCCCAAGGGTACCCTTGCATCCTTGCCTCTTCGGTCATCTTCGGTCCATCCTGAAGCACTTTCGGTAGCCAGCCCCGCTCAACAGCTTCGGCATGGGCGTCCAAGGCACTCGCATCCTTATCGTACATCCTTACCATCAGTTTTGACTGCAGTCCCGTACAGACTAATCGGGCTCAATCTTCCAACTTGGAGGACCCCCTGGCCGCCTCCAAGCTGGAGGAGTGGCAGCAGCGCAGCAGGAGCAGGAGGAGAAATAGGAGGGGCAAGAGCAC